GAGAGATTGAGAATAGAAAGTATACTGTGCGATTCAGAGTCACATACTAATACTGAAATCTTAATTAATTGTCATAGACCTTGATCAATATCACAGTATTCAATTAAATTATTGTTTTGTATAGATCATGTTTAACATTTTTTATCCTAGAGAGATTGCGCTCACAGCTTTTTATTATATTTTCGATTATTCAGTAATTGACAACTATGCGAATTATTATGTTTTAAAGGTTTTGGTATATTTAAAATAATTGTTTTTTATTCAATAATAAATTTCAATACTTTAGACTTTTAGAATTTATTGATTTTTCTTTGGATATTATAATTACATTCGTATTTATTATATCGTTAAAATTAGAATAAATATTATACAAATAAAAAGTATCAATAAAATTCATCTAAATTGATTTCTACTTGACTGATTTCTAATGACTATAATAATTATAATCTATTGAATAAAACGTATTTGATATTTCACAATAACTAGACATAACATGATGGAAAAAAGTATTTTTTGATTTATATCATTTAATATTATATTACTTTTTTCTTTCAAGGTCATTTATTCAAGTGTAACGAAAACATCAAATTTACTTCCTTTCATCTGGATGGTCTATCTATTAAAGGTATTTTGCGATTTGTTTTGATTCATTCTTTTCTAAAATGGGTACAGTTTCTCTTCGAAATCACCAAATTTATCATATTACTGAAAAAAGACAAATCGAATATATTTACATCAATATGATTACATCAAAATTGTCAAGTCGATCATCAAGATGTTTTATGAGTAAAAGCATTATTAAAAGAAATACATAATAATAAATGTTATTCACGAAAGTAAATATTTATTGATTGCACCAGTTTCATACGTTTCAATACTTTTAAAAGTTTAGCTTAGTAGGAAATTATTTTTTGTAATGATGAGAATAAATGTAAGAAATATTTAAATTTAACTTATGCTATCGATATTTGTACAGATCATGATTAATTAAAAAATATTAATTGATCGATTTTTATCATCATTAAAATTTCCTTTTTATTGGAAAATCGTCATTTAAATACAATTTTATCATCAGGAACAACATCATATGATAATACAAATGCACTTCAATTTTGTGAAGAACAATTAACTGTTCACGAAAAATATTTATCAAATCCAAAACATATTTCTATTGGGCAAATTCTTCAGAAAATGGGTGATTTATCAAATGATATTTATTATTATCGAAAAGCAATGGATATCTTTAATAATAACATAAGATTCAATTATTTATCAACTGAGAAAGCTGCTAGCGCAATTACTGCGGGATTAACAATATGAAGTATAATGGACTTTCCTATATCAGATAACGCATATTTAGTCTCTAATTTTGTGTCGATGCTAGTCTATACTTCTTTAACGAATATGGTTTGTAATAGAATACAAAAAATCGTTGAGGTGTCAGTCGGACTTTACAGTAGCTAATAAAGTATTTAATTGATTAATTAAGTTGCATGTAACGGCACGTGAGGGCGACGTAGATGCAAATTTTAACCCTTATACACTTCAACATTCTTTTTCAGATCGTATTTCGCAATTGTCGTATAAAATTAGTAGAATTATATAAAAAGGATCAAAGTTTAGTGCATATCGTCAAGTATTGAGATTTTATCGAAATATTTATCCACTTAAGCATATGACATTGATTGAAATGGAAGAAGAATTAATAAAATTGGAAACAATAACAGAAACATGTGACAACACAGTAGAAGAAAATATTCTCGAACAAACTTCTTTTTTAACTAATAATCAAAATGATCAGCAAGACCAAGACGAAGATGATCCGTTATTAGATTCAAATCATAATAACCCACCTACTGTAATTAGAACATCCATTTTAACGAAAAAACGAATTTCAATTGCTTGTGCAGTTACATTATCATTAGTTATTGTACTAATAATTCTGTTCAAAATTTCAAGTCGATCATCATCTAGTAAATCACAATCATCTACAATATTTGACACGACGACGAGTACAACTAAAATATCTGACCTAACTACAAGTACAACTATACCAAATTCATCACCAACAAGTAAGATCAATGTTCTCTTTTAACAATAATCTAGATCTCTAATTATTTAGCATCAA